TGCAACAATAGCAATAGTCTTAAGTGGATCAAAAAGATCCCTCACAATCAAAAATGATTCACTTCCCCTAATAGGAGAATACAACGCATACAGTGAAAACAATATAAAAAAAATCAAGAAACTAAGGCTCATCAGCAACCTCGGTATCACAGCAACACATTACCAAACTCCCATTACCTGGCTCAAAACAGATAAACAGAACCACACTAACACTCATCCCTTCCTCAAAGTTGACAAATTGGCAAAGTACCACAACAACAACAAAGTGATCAGCCACCAAGGACAGCTAACTGATGCCACTTATGGTGATCGCATCCTCACTTTCCATTACAAAGATCAAACAGAAATTACCACAACTGTCCGAAAGGCCATTAAACAAATTAGGCAAACATAGTTAACATATCAATGGATCACACTCAACAGAAACAAAGACTTAACTAAACAACAGGCAGAAGACATAAACTGGCAGGAAACAGCGCAGAGACTCCACCTGTCGGCTATCAACCTCAACACGACAGACACATGGAACCACATATAAAGGAGCTTTGCACTCAAACTATAGAACAAGGAGCTCACCACAATGGACAAACTTCACATCAAAAGCCCCGACATATACAAGTCAGATACATGCTTTGTATGTCCACATACAGAAGACAATATTCACTCATTCAGATGCTCATTCCATGGCATCAATATTGAACAAGTCACATTGAACTCCATACATCAAGAAATAACAGCAAGAATCGACAACAACATTACTCACAACATCAGACAAGAGCTCACATCAAACATAGCAATAAATAATATATGAAACAGAATCATTATGGGAGATATCAGCAAAACCATTCTAAAGATCACTGGCAAATACATTAAATCCAACCAAATAGCAGAGACGGTTAACAGCATCCGCAACACTATCAGATTCTAGACATATAATATCTGGATCGATAGGTGTGAGCACCTACACCAATAGGAAAAAAAACAAGGAATACCAGCAGGAAAAAATAGAAAGAATCACAAACAATCTCCTTTCAAAACAAAACTCAAGAGATCCAATACCCAACAAAATGGATGCATACCCTACAGAACTCATATCCAATATCCTTCGTGGAATCCACAATATCTTCGAAATTTACAAGGAACATGTTAACGGTGCCTAGGCATGTTAGTTCCTAATAGGAACAACATGCCACAAGGGTTTAAAGGTGGAGCCCCACCACCAATGGCGGCAGGTACCCATTAGACCAGGTAACAATTGATTTTATTGTAACCATGTACAGTAGACACATGGGAAAAATGTCTGTAATATAATCTTTGATAAAGTAACATGTAATTGTATATAAACTCAATAAAATAGGCAATGTTGCATATTTATAAAAAAAAAAAAAAAAAAGTATTAATTGTACTAAAAAATCAGTAGCATACTCCACTTCCAATCAAAAATAATAGAGTAGAGGGCCCAAATGCAGAAACATACCACATTATAAAAAAACTTAAAACAATAGTAAATATAGAACACAACATCACTAGTAAACTAACAAATATTGCACTTCAAATCCAAAATAACATCAATTTTGAAATTTACACAGATGGCTCTATGTTATAACATGGAACCAATACTATATGAGTTTTGGCTGGATCATTATCACCAGAGAGAATCAAGAAGTACAATTCCAAGGACAAATAAAAAACTTCCCCTCCTCAACCAGAACTAAATTAGTAGCCATTATGACAGCAGTAAATGTACTACCCATCTATAGCAGGACAAATATATACACAGATAACCAGGCTGCTATTAACAGTATATGGAAAACAATGAAAACAAATCATATACATAATCTTAGAAAACAAAAAAATCTAGGAGTCTTATAAAGATTTGTGATATAGTTAGACATAATCAACTCAAACTAGAATTTATAAAAGTTAAAGCATACATTGGAGACAATATAATAAAAAAGCAGATCAACTAGCTACTATCAACACCATCAAGGGCATGACTCCTGAACACAGAACAATACACACTATCCCTATCCAAAATCAGCAATACATATTAATCCCTTAATGGGACTATACAGAAATCGAGATCCCTATCAAAAGTATGGCAAAAGAGCTAACTAGGACCACACATCTAGCAAAATGGAGACTCCTAAACAGAACAAGAAATGAATTGTGTGACAGAATAATTAGATACATCCACTGGTCTACAACTCTGGAAAACCTTCAATCAACTCGAATGAGCAACCCACAACAGACTGGGAAGATCAACAATAGAGGAAGTTCAATCTCAGCCTCTGGAATGAAGAATTATCCACCAAAACTAAACTTTTCAGCCACTTGCCCACCTTATATAAAGATAACAAATATATTAAATGCAATAATAGAAAAACAAATATTCACCTATTTTTCTGCAAAGATCAATGAGAAAAAACAAAAAAGCAGATTCAAAACATCATAGTATAAATATACAGCAATTCAGCAAAACACCAAATATAGAAAGACACCTACAAGAATATCAGAAAAATAACTTACTACACTTTCTAGAATACTTAAAATACCTGTTTAAAGGGGCCATCTTAAAAGAAACAGTTAATACAGTTACCAAATATATAGCAGACCACTCTTCCAGAAAACAATATATAAAAGAAATCTGATAAGACTTTAGCAAATATCTCCTCAGCATATGGAAAACAAGATGTGATGACTTTCACAAGTAGAAAGAAATATACTATATCATAAGGAAAATCAAGAGAACTATCAGATATAGCACCTCAATCAAAAGTGATTGGTTTAATGAAACAAAAAGACACATAAAAGATCAATTCGTCAATTTGGTCAATAACTACATAAGTAAATACATAAAAAATATTACACACCTATCAGATATCTTCAAAATTTTATATAGCACTAGCCCAGCCTTGGCTGGTTAGCTTCCCAATAGGAGTAGCGACAAGTCGCGAGATGAATTTCTTTTCTTTTCTATCAAACTTTACTTGGTTAACATAGGTAGCACTAGTATAAACATATGTATACTCTACTTAATCCAAATAAAGTAAGGCTGAGCCAGCAGTTTAAAACAAAGTTTCTTTTAGATATGTAGAACTGTCTATATACAGTACATCTATTAAATAAAATACTAGTAGTGTATTTATGATATAATTGGAATTGTTTGTTCTGTACTATTCTAGAATACAATTTAGTCAATAGTCTACTGTCTCATTTAGATTGTTTATCACTATAATTAATATATTCTTGCTCTTTGTTTTGTTGATTTTGGATTTGAGCCAATAATACAGTTTAGCTCTATCTTATTTTCTAACTTCATCTGTCAAATTATATATTGTTATAATTCTGTACAGATTTTTTTCTTAAATATTAAATTGCTGAGTAGGTCTCAATTAATATATTTTTCTATATTGTATATATGCATTAACCATATTTATTCATTATAATGTTTACTTCTATTCTATATATCTATTATACTAGTTTTATAACCATATCTTATATCTTCTTTTAGTATTCTATTAATATGATTTTTTTGATAATCAAGTTTTCATTTTTTTCAAATGTTAATTTATTATTTCTTGCAATATTCTAACAAGGATAGTTTATCAATCTCTATATTGATTTTTCTTTTGTTTAAAGTACTTATTTTCCATTGCTTTTATATATCATTTGTCTTTTTTTTTTCTTTTCTCTTATCTATTTCAGGCCCTATACTTTTGGATTACTAAGTATAGTTATTTTGAAGAAAGGAAAAAGTCAAATTTATTATACCTATGGCCTAACTAAGTGAGTCTATGCAGTTCATCATTTCTTTTATAGTGTTGTTATTGTGGATTCTATCAGGCTGATTTTTTTATTAATTAGTACTTATTGTATTCTAATGTCTATTCTCTTTGGAAAGAGGGTTCTAATGTTTGAGTTCTTTGATACTATCCCATATTCTGTAGGGAGTTTATAATAGTTAACCTTTTAGCTTTGATATGGGTCCTGCCTTGATTGTTGTTACTCTTTTGTCTAATATGTAAACATGGTATTTAATGACCTTTATATCTACTTGGAGTTATTTGAGTGCTCCCATTATTATTTCCATTCTCACTGATGGATACTATAGGCTCTTAAGAATACTTGTATATATTCATTATGAACTATAGAAGCTACTAATTGATCTATTATTTTGTTTAATTAAGATGAATCCTTTTTGGGCTATCATTTTAAGTCTCAGTTGTTCAAGTCTATTTGCTCTGTCTTTTTTGGGAGAGCCTTCTTTGTTGATCGAGTAGGTGATAAATTCATGATCCTGAATATTACACCTGAAGCAAAATTTTATAGTTCTCTCTATCTATACTAGTTTTGTGCTATTGAGATTAAGACTGGTATTTTTTGCTTTACTCAAATCCTAGTTATTTTTGCAATAAAAAATTGTAAACCTTTTGTTATGGGCTAAGTAATTCAAGAGAAGTAATAATCTTGCATACCAGTTTGTGTAATGATTTTTTGTTGTTTCTTCACTGTGGTTCTCTGCAAGAGATTTGCTAACATTGTGTTATACTGGTTTCTTTTTATCATTATAATACGAGTCCTAATTATTTGATATATTAACATGCAAAAAGTGTCTTTATAGAGTGCCCATTTTTGAGCCTACTCCTTATAGGCAGTTATTATACTTAACTGTACTATACCTGATTGTACAGGACCTACTGATTGCAGGGTGATGTTTTCAATTACTGTTTTGTCCCGAAACAAGTTGGCAATATCAATTTTTTTGAAATAGATAGGAATGTCTCAAATTCAAATGAATCAGGCTTTGTCCTCACTGGTGCCAATCTGTGGAGCTAGTCTAAATTTGGGAAAATCATTATCAACAATATTAATGTCCAAGACTAAACCAAATAAGTCAACTAATAATTGGGACCACAAACTGTAAATAAATTTTCTTAGATGGTTAGGAACCTACATTCCGTGAAACAAAAAATTTGATATAATGACAAAGGATAGCAATGAATACACTTCTTTTGTTGGATGTGTTGTTTATGAATTTCAACATGAGAAATTTTACTTTGAAAAGCCTCCTTGTAGCCCTTACAATATTTGTCATCTTCGTTAATGATGGCTCTAATGCTAATACGGGGTTCATTGAAGCAACGTTTAAAAAAAATGATCACGATAAAGAATTAGTATCCCGGCAACAAACGACATTAGAATGTATTGGATACTTTAACGATGACCAAATTAACAAAGCTTATATAGACCTTGATATTGATGGGATTATTATACCTGAAAATGCAATTTATGCGACATTAACTGTAGAATGTAACAGTTGAACCTGAAGATGCCAAATCCGAATTAGAAAAATACGTTAACGGACAGTTTGTACCTATGAAGACTTATGGAATAGAATCGACAGAAAATTTAGGAATATCTCCTAAAAATTTTGGGTGGTCTGTCATCGGAAGTTATTAATCCAGGCAGACCCTTCTGAATGTCTTGACGCTCCTAATGAGGGATTAATTGGTATGGCTCAGATGTCGTGAATTTCAATGTACCTGCCGGCTATGAAAAAATATATGAAAATTAATGCGCTCAAATGTCTTCAATAATAGAAGATTGCCCCAGGGTAACTCGACAGATTCTATTTTAACAGAAAAATTAAATAAATTGCTGAATAGATTGGCCAAATACTTCAAAAACTCAAAGGATAGAATTGAAAGTGTGAAACCAGAAGATGAAAAGGCCCAGAATTTGGAAGGATGCTTTGAAAAGATGGAATTAGATATAAAAGTAACTATAGAAAACAATAACATTACTTGCTTATCATGTGGTGAGATGGATACTTTATCTAATATTAATAATCAAACACAATTACAAGAAGACAAAATAAAAATAGTCCAAGATTTATTGAAGAAATTGGATAACGCTTTAAAGTGCAAATTTGAGATATGACTTAAATTCTTGCGTAGAAAATAACAATACATCGAATACGTCTAATACGTCTAATACGTCTAATACATCTAATACGTCTAGTACGTTTAGTAACGATGGCATCTCAAGACTTTCCGTAAGTGCCATTACGATAATGGGAATACCTTTATGTATAATGTTAGTGTTTCTAGAATTTATGAAAAAGAATCAATAATGTTAATAATGAACAACGGTTCTATTTAGGAGATATTTTGAAAATTTGTTTAGGTTTTGTATAAGTGAAACATACAATTAATAATTATTATTTTATTATATCTGTATCTTTATTTTTAATAAATATGATTATGTTATTATTTAAACAAATAATTTTAAAATTTAACATAAAAAAAGAAAAGAGAACTACATATCCCTTTACGCTGATGCGGCTCAGCAAAAAAATCTTGGAGTTATTTTTAACCGTGCATATAAAGTTTGCAGTCGCATATACAGTAAGTAATATTCATGCATATGACGTGGATCCCCGAGGGAGCAGCCCATGTAGTGGCTAAATTAAAAGTAATTGATGGGTTACGAAAAATATACAGTATATACCGGGATCAACATTATTCGAACTTTCTGTGTTCGAACTCGTGAAAGGTAAGAATTTGTTTCTTGCGTATGTAGTGTAGCAGGCTGATCGGCGTGTCTGTCGCTAATGACCAAAAGCTCGCGTAACCTGCGGATAGAAGAGTTCATCCTTCTATCACGCAAAACAAACAAAGGCAGGGGCGTAAAAAGATTTAGGCGAGTCTCAAGGTAGTTTCCCTAAACTACTTATAACCTCACTGTTATAAAAATCTATCCAAAAGATTCATCATTTTATTAAGTCATTGAAAGAAGTTACATTTTACACATAGGGTTATTACATAATCACTATGGCTATTCTAGTATTATGTCATGCATAAATTATTTCGTGATCAGCTAATTTTCTATTACCTCAGCTCATAGTTTTTTATCTTTTTGATGCGAATGGATTGTTCGCGTATTCTTCTGTCTTGTAAGGGGTAAGGTGATGATCGGCAATTGATTGTTTCGCGTAAGCTTCGGTCGTGTAACGATCGTCGATCACGTGACCACGGCGAAAATCCTGAACTTGGTCTGACTTCTTTGGCCTTTAACAGTAGCAAAATGTTCTATTAAATTTACCCAGAAATAACTTGCTAAAATGTGAAGGGTAACAATAGTGATTTACGGTTTCGGTAGCTTTTTTTCACGGCACCACCCCTCGATATCTGTGATGCATCCCGGATCCACGATATTACGAAAATGCACCTTTTTACCGAGTGCGAGAAGATCCTATGTGCGGACATTATCATTCCGATCTTTTAATTTCGAGAAATTTGAGCGGTGACATTAGACGCATCCTGTTATTTGTTGTTCTGAAAATCTATTGGCTGTAATTTTATTCAATTCGATCGAAGGTGATGGCTTCTTGTAATAGGCTCCTTCATCCCCAACCATCGACCAAAATCGATCCACATACTCTTATTATTTTCTTTACTATCGTAAGAAAAGCTGGCGTGGTGTTCTCCAATTTTGATTATATCCTCGTCAACTAACTTAAAAAATTTTGTAGGAACGTTTTTGATACCTTACATCACTCGTTAACCTAGCCTCTCGAACTAACGTTTAAGTTAATAGATCTCTCGTAGAAATTTCTTCGAAAATTTGATACACCTCGACGCTATGCGATCTGACAAAATACTTCTCCATTCTTTCTTGATATCATATCTTGTCACTCGTACGCAACCCCCCGAATTGCGTGCTGAGTCCGGCGCTAATAACATGTTTTTTTTAATGTAAGATATAAATCTAATGGAAAATTGTTTCGTCAATTGCCTTTTTGCGGATTGAATTAACAATCAAGACAAAATATCGAGCCACCAATAAGGTGATCATGCCCTTTCAAACATGCAACATAATAAGTATACCAAACACAATACTTGGATAGCTGATCAACCATTTGCCATTGCAAAGACACGAAAAAGTAACTAACCAGATGGTCTGTGCTAAGTATTTATCAAAAAATAACAATGTATCCAGCTTTGATCGAAAGTAACGCACGGCGAGCAAAATAACTGACTAAACGGTAATATGGACGTATGCTCATTTCGCTCAGATGATAATTATGATTTTTGTTCCTTATTACGCCTACATTTTTTATTGTAACGAGCACTAAATGACAATTTCTTTGGTGATTCTCTTGTGACATATTAATATAAGAATTAATAGCAGTATAATAACTAATAAGCGGGAAAGTTAAAAGCAACACTACTCGACGAGCCGTTAGAAATAGAATTTCTAGAGCCGATGTCATACTCAAGAAGAATAGCGTAGAAAAGGAAGTGTGGGAAGTACCGTATAGAACTTACTAACAGTACCCCCTCTAATAAAGTATAGTATGGGAGTATTATTCGACTCCAAATAAAAATATTTTTGAAGAATAAGTTCTTCTCTTAATAAGCCAGTTTCACGTGATAGCTATTTATCTATGATTGGTCACAAATTATGTGATTTCTCATCGTTTCCTCTATTCCATCCCTCTAATCCTTCCGATCTCTCTGTTCCTTCGATCTCTCTGTTCCTTCCATTCTCTCCCTCCATGTTCTATCTGTCCTCTCCCTTTCACTATTTTCTCCCTCTATTATCAATTCCCTCCTTAGTTCTCTCCGTTCCTTTTGTTTCTTTCCTTCCTCCATTCCTTTCTCTACCCTCATTCATATTCACTCCGTTCTTACTTTCGATCTTTCAATTCTTTCCATTCCCTCTTTTCACATTTTATCCATTCTCTTCATCCCTCTATTCCCATTTCCCATTTCCTCTGCTCTCTTCGATCTCTATTCCCTCTCTCCATGTTTTATCTATTATCACCCTTTCTTTATTTCCCTTTGTTCCCTGTTCCTTTTTCTCTCACTCTTTCCATTCCTTCCCTCCATGTTTTATTCGTTCTATCCCTCGATTTTTTTATTCGCTCTATTTATTTTTATTTCTTCTATTTCTTTTCTTCTTCGTTTCCTCCTTTTTTCGATCCTTTCGTTTTCTCCCTTCTTCTTTAGGTCTTTTCGTTCTCTTCTTTCAATCTTCATTTCCTCAATTTATCTTTTTCTTAGTTTTCTCCTACCTATGTATATAAATAAATGCACTCGAAAAGTTAATACAGGCCAAGGCAAAGAACTTACACGAGAATACATGGAAATAACGTGTTAATTTAATGCCCACAATTTATAATATAATCTTAATATAATTCATTTCGAGCGATTTTGCATATACAGTAAATAGTCGAAGTTATAAAAATACGATTATTTGTGGTTCAAATAATGAAAGCAGATTCTGGGATGAGGTGAAGTCAAAAGAGTCTCTGTGAGCGAAGACGAAAGTCTTATTGATCCAAGTAATAACATATTCATCGACCAACATTAATAATATAAATGTTAAATTTTAACAAGAGAAATGTCATTCTATAAAATCTTTAGTTTTCTTTGAAACTATTGAAATTTTTAAATCTATTTAACACTTATAACTATAATCCATTTTTTTAATCATTTCATATACTTGAATGATTCATTTCTTGTTTATATAATAGTTATATTCGATATTATTACTAAGATCAATTACTTCTATATTTTAATTATCATTTCCCAACAGTTTAATTTTATTGCTTGTTGAACTTGATATTTCAAGAATTTTATAATCAAATATTAACTCATCTTCAGTTACATTTTGATTATGAGAAATATTATAATATTTGAATGAATGTTGAATCAATTCAATATCAACTGCATTCCATAAAGCATTAATCCAATCTGCAATGTTCTCATAGGAAGGTTTTTTGAATTTTCTGGAGGGTGTTAGTTCTTTTATAATTAAGTCATCTATTTATTATAATGTTGTCACATCTATAAGTTAAAAAAATATTAAATAAATAAAAATTTAAGAATACAATATTCAATATATAATTTTTGTTTTTGTTTTAAATGACCCATTAATCGCAACATTAAAAGTTATAAGTATGATGTTAACCCTCTAGGAAGAATAGCCAAATTATTATTATTATTATTAAAATAACATTTTATAGAAGCAACTATATGTGTTGAAAATGAATTCAAAATAAGTAAAAATTGCAGATTAGACATAAAACACATTGATCTAAACATTTTCTATCCGACATAGCATCTTTTTTTTTTCATTTATCCATCCTGTTGAATTAGCTCAAATTATTATTTCTGATAGAAATATTTTTTTCGGAATATTCTTGAGTTTGAAAATTACAGTGTAGAAAGTTTGGTTTCATCAACCATACAACTTAATACTACTATGAAATTGGTTTATTCATGTTTTGTTGCATGAATATCGATAGATTGAGCTATCGATTAATAGGAGTCTCATTCATATTACCAATAAATGCAATTAATAATCATGTTATATACATCAATACATAATAATGCTAAAAATTCTTATTGTTTTTCAATTAAATATTTTGGTAAAAGTTATGCAATAGTAGTTTTATGGTGATGCTCAAATTCTTGGGATATACAGTATTAATCCATCCAACCATTTATTACTAAAAACAAAAGATTTAACATTGGGCTAAATATTTTACCATGTTGATTGTTGCGCGAGTGTTTTTGCTTTCATTTGAACCACGCTTCACGAAATAATATATTGATTCTTTCTTTGTTCTTAATTCAACCAACTAAAGTAACTTCTAAAGTTGGATATTTAATCATTTCATATTAGGTTGTGTTTTCAAAAATTGTTCTTTCTTAGATAACCAATCTCGAAGTTGCTTTGTTTCAATATTGAATTTTAGATGCTGTTTTATTTTTACTATGTCCTTTTTCATAGTGCATGATAGATACAAGTTTTTCGCATGCATTCCACTGGCGACATAATTTTTTTGTTGTTCTTGAATGTTTTATAGATCTATTAGCACACGGAGCCATCGCTAAAAAAAATGTACGAATATTTATAACATATTTATGAAGCATACATTGCCTGAGGATGGGTGAAATATTTACTGTAAGCGGCCCAGATTTTATCGAGTCGTAACTTGGACATTTCTTTTCTGATTCTTCGATCTCTTTGATTTGCTTAGATATCTCTAAAGACTCGACATACTCCTCGTCATCTTCATTTTCCACTTATAAAATATCTTTCAACTCATACGATGTTGGGTGATTCCCCAGTGTGGCATTCCAGCGTCTTTTCATTAGATTTAGGAATACTACGTTTAATTTCAGGTCGAATGCCTTGGCAAATCTCAATAACTAGGTGTGCATCATTAGGAATAAGAGGTTGAAATCAATAAAGTATCTCGTACGTAACCATTCTGGATGAATAAATTTCTGTGACTTGCGTATGCCTTTCGCTCTTTAAAACCTCCGGAGCTATATATGGAAGGACACCTAAAACTTGTTGCTTTATTATGTTCCGTAATATATTTTATTCTACTTTGTTATTATACATTTGTTCACATGATCCAAAATCACCTATAAATGCAACTTGACTATTTAAACTCCTTAACAATATATTTTCGCCATGAATGTCTTTGTAAACTAGTTTTGCCTTATGAATGAATGAATCCCAACCCCATGCAATATCCGCTAAAAGACTAATTAATTTTATTGTGCCATGAAAATCCATTACGTATATTTTTGTCCGAGCATTTTCGGAGACTTCCCTCTTTCATAAAGTTCGTAACTATTACACGTATAATAAAAGCAATCTGGAGATTTGGTAATTCCAAATACTTGCTCTTATAAAGAAGGCATTATACAGTTTTTTATTGATACTTAATCTAAAAATATATATTAATATAATCTCTAAAATAATAAAAACGCTATTGTATTAATAAACTCACCTCTCTCGGGAGTTTATCAGGATTGCTTGAATTATTAATACAAAAATCACTAGCAGAATTTCTTTCCTACCATTTTTTTGAACCTTATTTATAGATATAACCATCAATCTATTTGGCAGAGAATACAGTCACAAATCCACCTTTAGCAAGGTGTTGAACATTTCTGAATTTTTTAAATGGAATCCACTCAATAGTATAAAATGAATTATTACGTGCATCAAGTTGAACTTCTTGAGTGAACTTGTCGGTAATGTTATTCTCATTGGTCTATATGAATAGAAGTGATTTTAAATTTTGTAACAGCTACACAACTTATTGCATTTATCTAGTTACATCACAATTTGATAAATATTAACGGAACGGTTATAAACCTTAATCTTTAGAAATTAAAATCGTTAATAAGGACAAGAACTTCAACAAATACTGTAAACGATCAAAGGAATTTTTTATTTTTATTTAAACAATGTTTCCTGGCTTGCTTCGACATTATTTAAATTATGATCGCGCAATTAATAAAAGCATCGAAATTTCGTAAAATTTTCAAAGATGCAATATACTTTGTTGTTTCGTTATCAATCAATCACCGCGCGGAAATATTCGAAAATAAAAAGAATAATGAAATTGGTGAAAGAGAACAGTTCCCGACTTCTTTTTTACGGACAATTATAAAGCAAGAGGATGCATCTAAGCGACATAGATTTTGAATTTTATTTCGATGGAATATAACATGCAATCATGATAAACATTACCATTCTCCATAAATCCAAAAGAAACGTGTCTACAAAATAAAAAATTTTAATTATTTACCTTTGAATTAGGCGTAGGGCTCGAACATAAAATTTACTTCTACGTAGATAATACGAAAAGTATGTGAGGTTAACCGCAAAATCCAAAACATTGATCTCAAATTTCTTGTGTTTAAGCCATCCGATCTGTATTCACATATTCGACACAGAACATCTTACTTAAGAGTTCTTTTCTTTAATTAAAACTAGAAACCAATAAATTAAAATTAAATACACTATTTCAGATCATCTTGAACCAGGGACTGTCGTCAATTTATCGTTTTGCTAAATATAAAAAGGTTGAAATCGATCTATAATAAATCATAATCTTTCCAAAATCTCTTCTTCATTTAAATGTAATACTTTTAATTTGCTCCTATAGTCATCCCAATTTAAATACGCTCCGATTAACCGTCGGTGTCCCTCAAACGCCGCTCGTCCATGCAACACACGCCAATTATCGAACACAACCACCCTCCCCGGACGCAACGGAAACCGATACTCGTTCTTCTTATCGCTTAATAATTTGTTCCATTCTTTCAACGCCTCGTAAAAATCTAGTACTTGATCAGACAATAAATGAGACATGGTCGATCGATCGTCATTATTATATCGAACTTGGTAGAGAGATTTGGTTAGTGGATCGTGATTCAGAATTGGATGAGCAATAGGAGTAGGTTGGATAAGGATATTAGAATCGCCGGCAGAATGAGAGGGAATCGGAATCGTAGAGAGGGTGTTATAATGATTGGAAGATCTTATTTTCAGTTGATGGGCGATCCAAAAGCCATCTACTAATAACGATTCACCACCTTTACCCTCGAACTCGACTAAGTGAAACATCTGAAGACTGATTACAAATAATGATAGGTAAGCACGTGTTTCATTATGAAGTTGAGGTGGGCGAGTTAAGCGACGTAGAACATAAAAAAGATCTACTAATTCGAACCCTGATGGATCAGTGAAATAGGTATTATCCGTATGGGCTTTTAATTCAATGCTCGTATATGCAGTATCTCCATGTTCCATATTATCCGTAAAATCCCAAAATTTACCTGTGGTTTGATAAAAAAAAAAAAAAAAAAAAGCAATTTATTAATAATCTTTAAATATTCTCGTGACTAGATAACCAGTGATCAAGTTCTATGGTAGATACCATAATGGGTTTCTCGAATGAAACAAATTCTTCTTGCCAATTCTTCAGTTTCCTTGACGGTCGATGGCACACCATCCACAAAACAGAATCCAAATTCATTCTATTAAGATGAAAACAATAGATCCTAGACTTAGCTATTCTCAAATGAGATAGGTAGTTCTTAAATGATGGATTTAATACGACTAGATCACATCATATATCTATACATACGATGTTCCTTAACCACTTGGCCAAGCCTTCTTTTGATCTCATGACCTATGAATGAATAAAGTGTTTATAAAAATATTTTAAAAAGGAAGGAATTGTCACGTCGATGATAATTAATAACAAAACTAACTACTCTCTCTCGTACATACTTCAGTGTATTGTACTATCGGTGGGCTTTCACTGATCTCAGCATTCCATAGTGTTTTTCTAAAATGAGACGAAAATAAGCTCGATAAAGTTTTTACCTCTATTCCTGATTAAACATGCTTACTTATTCAAAAACTGTTGAACATCCGCAAACTTTGGGTCATAAGAGTGCCTTTTTAGCCAACTCCATTTGAAAAAACTTTTATGACCATCGCTCCCTGTGATCAGACATGCTTTCTTAGCAAATCAATGTTGTTTTATTTAAAAGAATAAGCGAATCAACAAAAAACATACAGTTAATTGTAATCCCATTTGTCTCAGGAGACGCTGATAGTGGCTTGATGTCCTTAGGAATCTAAAAAAAAAAAAAAAGGAATGAATGAATGAATGAAAAGAAAAAAAATGCAACAGATGAGACTAGCTAACAATCACAATCGTCTTAACGATCAATTAATTATATCGATTTCTCGACATTTACTAAAAGCATACATATACTAGAGCATTAATTATGCTACTCTCATTTAAAAATGTTAATATGAAAAATATATCAGCATACCGAGAATGTGTCTAAAAGTCGTTGCTTCGTGACCGGGTGATAACATTCTGAACATTTGCAATGATCTCTTAACCAGATGTTATGACTTCACATAATCGAATGTCGTGCAGGAGTGGTATTTTTAAAATAATGATAATAAATCTAAACGAATTGGCCTTACACAATAAGAGATATAAAGCCTGGAAGAAAAGAAGCATTTACAATTTACTTGTTTGGTGATCTTGCCAATCGACCAATACTTTTATTTCAGTGGTGGAAATCGTTATTGGTTTTGAGGTCGTTGAACCCGACTCTATCTATTAAAAAAAAAAAAAAAAAAAAAATTACATCATCTTTCTAATTATCTTATCAATAGATCATCTGATAATGACTCTATAAAAAACTTTATGCTAACCCTCGAATGGTTTCGCAAGGAGACATGATTAAATTTGATTGGACCCGGTTTAATTCCTAATTTTACAATCCTCTTGATAAGATTTATTCGAGAATCAAGGTTACCCGGAAATGAAAAATCTCTCGATATTGACAATTTGCAGTATGATTTGTTTGTAAAAAGAAAATTTCCAAAAATATTTGACAAGGTCAACTGCGAATTTCTAGCTTTATCAAGGTGAGCACGAAGAGTGGATGGATTTAAGCGAAACATTCTGAATTAGTAATCAATACAGTAAATACAGTATCGTATTGAGTTATCGGAAGGAAAACGAAATCGATCGACATAAAATGAATGCATAAAATAGACAGCGTACCGTAAATCAAGGATTATCGTTGCACCTCCACGAGGAATTAGAGTAACTACCCCTCAATCATTTTCAACGAAATTCCAAGTGACTAAATCGTTCCCTGAACAACTAGGCACTGCATTACATGCAGTGTGATTGGATTTCATGCGTATTCTAACACACTGCCAACACCGTCGGACCATGCCGAAAGATAAATCGAGCTCATTCTTTACGCAATCGGTGTCTTATTCGGTACGTATATGTAAGAATGATCGAAATCTTAAACATAATTTATTACATAAGAATGTTACACGGCCATCCAGTATACGTAATCGAATATTCATGGTACGCATGTATTGGCCACAAGAGTACGTTTTCGGTTAGTTCTCATGGTAATTAAAAATTCTTCAACACGGAATATCTTTTTATCAAATCAAGCTTTGGTATTCCGCACGGCACACTCCAGTACATACTGTACATACGGCTAGGATGTGAGTTAGTCTGCAAGCTTGAATAATACGTGTCACCGTAAACATTCTTATGCATACAGCGTCTGCTGATCAAGTTTATAAATAAGGCCTTTTTTTACATATAATTTCAGTAAGCAATTTTTGTCTATTTTCATCTTGCTGCTTGTGTTTTCTATTGAAGTTTATTTTTTTGTTTATTCGATTAACATTTGTTTTCAGTATCCTTTCTCGTAAACTTTCCCGCATTAAAAAAAAAATGCCCGCCAGAAAAAAAGTATCCGTTGAATCGGATTCATCTCACGTTCCCAACGGCACTTCTTCTGCCACGTCCTTTGATTCTTCGAACACTTCTCTCCGCAATCCCTCCCGCAATTCTTCAAAACAACCCTCAAATCCAAAAATAAATCTTGTTTTTTCTAAGAGGTTTACATTTCCAATGTCCCGTTCCGCCATGGATTACGAAAAACTACCGAAATTCATCGATGAAACTTTACGTTACATAAATTCATTTAATTACCCGTATGAAATGTTTTACGAGTTGAACGGAGAAGTGCGAGTATTTAGCTCGAGGACTGATGACACCATGAAAGCGCTCAAAGATGTTTGTGAGAGTGATGAGGGAAAAAATGTTGATTCTGTTTATATATTGGCAGAAAAGGTTGGTAGGAAATAGAGAGAAGTCACTCACAAAACTTATTATTTTTAATGCACAAACTAATTCATTGTCCTTTCGCATTTTTGTTCCTCGTGTATGTTTGTTTAAACCAAATTTATGACCTCACTCACTCGAAACTGCGTTTCGGTGTTAAATAATAGGCCGGGGTCAAAACATTCCTAGCATACAACGTGGATTTCGTAGCATTTGTAACATTTTTGCTAAATTTGTTATGGTACATTTTCGTGGGGTCGCGTGAGTCAAGAAACTCGGCAATGGTCCTAGGAGTTGGATTATGCATTTGGGTGTATTGGAAGTACTTGAGATAAAATGGAAAATCAGTGGGTGATAATTAAACTATTTAACAGGATTAAGGAAAACTCACGATTAGAAAGAAAGAACATCAAATTCTAGACTAGCCGCTGATGAAATGGAATGGGTAGAGGAGGACATATAGTTTTAAAAATGAAATAATCGTGATGCGATTTCAATAGATTAATTTTTCTCTTACTTTAATTTATATATACTTGAACAAGCGTACGTTGTTCTAATGTGCATTTAATTCAATCATCACTAGGCATAATTACCAAACGTTTACAACAATCTATTTTTATGTTTAATACATATACTGTATGTACTGTATATTTATTCTAATTTTACCTTGCTTGAGGGTGTTGATTTCGATCGGACAATTTCCTATAATAAAAAAGCTTAATCGTATACCTGTGGTTCCTTCTTCATGTTTCTGATAGTACAGTAGGGCCTATAGATAAACTACCGCATAACGCAAGTGACTCTCAAAATGCTTCTCTATTGTATGCATAATTGCGTCGATCAATATACAGTCATTGACTCCGAAGAAAATATAGCACGCGTTATCAAAGATCAATTCAAAAAACCCGTTGTACGTATAATTATATATGAGTTATGGTTATTATCGATAGAACTGGTTTTTTCCGTGACCTATCGACTAATGTTAACTCAAAGTAACGAGGTTTATTTTGTACAGATGTTGGCCAAAAGTCCGTAGACATTCTATTAGTTAAATTAACTAAAAATTAATTGATAGTTTCACAGACTTTTGACTGCCACGTGTATAACTAAAATTTCATCTCGCATATTACAACGGATCTTGAATGAAAACTATTATTGCAGCGTTGCATATTTAAAATAAAGGATTTTTACTTTAATAAATATCAAGTTATCAAATTACAGTATATCGGAATAAGTACGTAAATACTATATTATAAATCGATAAAATTAAATCAATAAATTATTTATATTTTTAATCTTATTTAATTAATGTAATGATATTTTTATCATAAACAATATTTAAAGCGTTTAAAATAATAAAATTGCTTTTATCTCAATTTTATCGTAACCCAATGCAAACTTTTTTATTGCAAAATTACACGAAATCCCAATAAATAGTATTTAAAAAAAAAAAAAAAAAAAAAAATTCAAATCACCATATTGCATTTCATTTCACTTAAATTTATCAGGATAATTAAGGATATCGCATAAATATATATCCATTAAATAATTATTGGCATTGTTATTAGAATCAATAATTAATAAATTTGTTTTTTTTTATTTTTTTGGCATATTAAATTATATTTTTTTACATTATAATTAAATTTAAATTGATAAAAATTGATAAAGCTCGAATTTTTTTTTTAAAAAAAAAGATATATTATTTATTATTTGTATTTTAAATATTAGAATTATCACTTTAAAATTTTAAATATCTTTTTTAAAAAAAAAATAATAATAATAAACAATTAAAAATTTTAAAATAAATTTTAAAGATATAATTGGTCTAATAGAAATATTGTTTTTTAAATATTTTATCTCAAATATAAATAAATTTCATACAGTATAATCAAGCTTACTTTTGAATTTTATTAACAAAACATGATAACAACTTTTTTAAGTTTGATTTTTATTTATCAATTGATATTTAATAAATATGAGTTATAACTTTTACTATTGATATTACAATCTATATATTCAATTAGAGATGATTGATTATTAATCCAATTATAGTGTCTATATTCTATTGTTAAGGTTTATACTAATTCAGTATGAACATACTATGTTATGATTAATGGTTCTTGTATATTATAAAAATAAATTTATATTAAGAAATATAATGTTTTTGTTATTAATCAGTTATTGTTATATACTACTTTTGAAAGTATTAAAGCAAGCTAGTATATATTTGAATGATATATAAATTAAGTCTAATTAATTGACATAATATAGAGTTTTTGTTTTGTTACTATTTAACAATTGACCTATAAATAAAAGATTGTGTTTTTTAAAATAATTTTTAAAAGAGAACTTATATATTCTTAATAACTATATTGTGCCATATATAATATTTTATTTATAGTTTATAAAAAAAGTTTCAAAAGAATTGATAATTACTTTTATGAATCCAAAATATTTTGTAAAAATTGTAATTTTTCTTTTATTATGCACTTAATTATATTATTTTAATTTATGATACTAAAAATAATTACATATTTTATAAGTATATAATATTATATTTAGATAAATTATATAATATACTATTCAAAAAAATATTTATATAATCAAGTTTATGTTTAAAAATAGTTATTCGTTTACTTATTAGTTTATTGTATATATTTTTGAATAGAATTATATTATTACAGAAATATTTGATACTAAACATTAATATGTTATTTAAGATTATATTTATTGATTTAGTACTTCTTTTTATACTTAGTGGTATTCTAATCTTTTTATTTTTTGTTTGATTAAATCTTGAAAAGTCTTTTTTTCTAGAATTATTATATTATACTTTCAAGTGATATAAATAAAAAAATATTACAAAAATTAATATCCAAATTAATAAAAACTTTCAATATTCTTATTGGTATTTTTTTTATATTTTATTATTCTTTAATTATTTATTATAATTTATTTTTATAGTATTACTATTGGCTATTAATCATTAGAAATTAAGATTTCAATAAATTTATTTTGATATCATTTATGTAAAAAAGTTGTTTTACTATATACTATATATAATATTTATAATTCTTTCTTTAAACTAGAAATCTATATAGTGTTATATATATATATTTACTTATTATAATGTTTATTATATTTTTAATTCAGTTTTCTTTTAGATCTTTATATACTTTGTTTAAATTGGATATCTTTTTTTTTTCTTATTAATTATTATAAGTAAGAAATTATAAAAAATTCTTTATAAAAATAAGAATATAACATTTTTAATCAATATTATCTCTTACTATATAAAAGCTAGTTGAACTATAATAGATAAGAACTATATTTTATCTATCTTAAAAAATGTTATTGAAATTTTTATAAGTTATTCAAAAATATTTATATAGCAAAGAACCTTAATTGATATATTAATATTTACAAAATTATATACTATGAAGATACTATATTTTAACTTAATATCTATACTTGTCTATTGTTTTTTTTTTTGGTATTTGATTATATTACTAAAAAGATATATTAGATTTTATATATTATTATTAAGTAGTTTATCCAATTTAACTCTGAAAGTATTTGATGTTCATTAAAAATCTTTACTAATTTATTAATAATTTATTTTGTGAATATTTTTCTTCTTGTATTTAAAAAAGTAATTGGTTTGATTATATTAAGATTATTTTTCACTCTTTAATTATAAGATTGAATATATTATTCCTTTATTTTATCCTTTTGAAAGTGTGTCTTGTAAAATAATAGTATTAAAAATATTTATTAGTTTTTTTAATATATTTTTTCCCAGGTGTTCATAGATGCAATAGGGAATCTATTTACTTTCTTATACAAATTTATTATTTTGATTTTTGATTATAGATATAAGTTTTTTAAATATAATTTCTGCAAATATTTTTTATATCATATTTTTTTGATATTATTTTTAACTTCATATTTTTATTGTCATAATAAGTATTGCATAAAAATTTTTATATTTTTTTATAAAGTTTAGTTATTATTTTTTTTTTAAAAGTTTTAGCTTATTCCTATCCAGTTCTAAAACTTTATTATAGTCAAGATAAGTTCTAGGGACAACCAGAATGAGTAATTACCCATACTGTCTAAAGATTTACAGATTACTGAATAATACAAGAAGTATCTATTTACATTTCTCCTAACCAGAATAAAATAACTATATGAAAGTCTAATATAGGGCTGTCTCTTAATTCTAATTAAATAAGTATTTAAGGAGGAGTCTTAAACATTCAATTTAATCAAAGTGATCCACCTCATTATCTTCTGTTATCAGAAACAGCACTTTCTAGAACTATGGTTCACTGGATAACTTGTTGCTATCCTCTATTAGAAGAGCTAACATGTCAAAAGCTTATCTAAATACCTAGCATCACTGATATTGGGATTTCTTAAATGAAAACCTTGTTGATTTTATTAGTACTTCAAGATTTTTCTGGATGGCTTGTTATATGTCTGGTACCTGTTTTGTTACTTGCTCAAAGATCAGTTTTGTTTATAAAAAATATCGATCCCTTTATTGTTAATCTTGATTATCAAAATCTGTTTTTGTGTCTTTAGCATTGCATTGAATTGAATTTTTCCTATCTGGTTATGAGTGTGCCTGGTCATTTTTTTAAGCAATCAGATTCTTCTTCTTTCATTTTCAAAGTGATCGATTTGTGTTCTAGAACCTTGTACCACTTATTTTAACCATATCTATAAAATCTTGTATTATATTTTTATCTTGTTATAGCTATGATAAGCAGTTGGGATTCATTTTTTTTCACTTCCTGTTTGAGATACCTGGGACTGGTTGTGTGTAGAAGACTTATATTACTTATATTAGCGTTATATAGAACCTGATAATAATTTAGTCATTCTTACTATAGGTATGATGAGTAAATGGGTATTCCTTATTACCTTTATTGAGGCACTTTATCATTATCATGGAGGAGATAAAATCTTTATACCACCTTGTGACTTACTTAATTTTTTACTTGGTTCTTATGTGATATTGAACTCTGAACCTTATAATTGTAATCTGAAAACACTATAACTATACTATTGATCCATAGGTCTTATAAAGTTTAGTTATAAAAGTATTACTTGACTTTCTTTTTAATTTTTTTGAATTCAATAATTATCTGTATTATTATCTTCTCTCTTAATAACTTTATTAGATATATATCTTTATAAATCTATTTATAATACTATTTATAATTACTTTTTTTTTTTAACCTTCAATCATGTCACTCTAACATGTCTTTATTGAGATATTGAAAAATACTAAAATATTTAATAGATTTTTTTACAAAGTAACAAACTTGTCATTATATATTATTAGTTAAAGAACTACACTACTTAAAAAATATGAGGAGTCCACTAAGTTAGTTTGAACTAAACAAAACTAAGTCTAAACTAGGTACTC